TCCAAACTCACCTTAGTAGCAGAGTTTGGCTGTTCCTCACCCAGTTGTAAGCCTCCTACGCAGCTGTTTCTGTTTCAGTTAATGACTGTGTTTCAACCTACATATGAAATTGATGATCATTAGCATCTGCTTGTTATACTTGGTTAATCATACACCTGACTTTAATCCTACAAGATCCCTGACTTTGTGCAAGTGTCCAAAGTGTGCAAGTGTAAGAATTGATGCTGGTTTGAAGGCAAAGGGTGGTCACACCAAATATTGATTTGATTTGGATTTCTCTTCTGTTTGCTCACTTTGCATTTTGTAAATTGATAAACATAAACAATTACAATATATATTTTTGAAAGCATTCTTGCTTTACAGCATTTTTCACACCTGCCTAAAACTTTTGCACAGTACTGTAAATACATTTTATATACATAAATATCATAGATTTCTCTTCTGTTTGCTCACTTTGCATTTTGTAAATTGATAAACATAAACAATTACAATATATATTTTTGAAAGCATTCTTGCTTTACAGCATTTTTCACACCTGCCTAAAACTTTTGCACAGTACTGTAAATACATTTTATATACATAAATATCATAAGAAAATATGAGATTTTTTTTCTAAAATCAAAGCTAACATCAATCTATTATTACTCTTTTGGAGACTGACTTCTAAAATATAAAGTATTAAGAAAATCATTGGTATCTTAGATAGATTACGTGCCATCAAATTGGTGTCACCTCTTAGAACCAATGTAGATAGATTTTCTCCATGACGATCTGTCTCTAGCCTGGTCCTTCAAGTCTTTCAATGATGCACCCATTGCCATAGTAACTGAGTCCATCTACCTTCCTGATAGGCGTCCTTGTTTTCTCTTTCCTTCCAACTTCCCTAGGATTAGAGAGCTAGGTCCTCACACAATGTGGCTGAAGTATGATAATTTGAGCCTGGTGATTTGTGCCTTGAGTGAGAATTCTGGGCTGATTTGTTTGATAATCCACTTGTTTGCTTTCTTGGCTGTCCATCATATTCCAAAGTTCAAAAGTGTCAATACTCTTCCTATACTGCTTCTTCACAATCCAACTTTCATTTTCACAATGTTTTAGGAAGTACCATTGCTTGCACTATTCTGAATTTTGTAGGTGTAGACACAACATAGCATCTGAGTATCTTTTCCAAGGCTGTCATGGCTCCTCTACTAAGTGCAACAGTCTGCGGCGTATTTTTTGACTTTGTTCCTTTACTGTGGATGGTTGATCCTAAAACACAGATGCTTCCATTTCCACTTCAGTATCTTCTTTGTCAGTTGTAAGGCAGGTTGTTGTATCCATTGTCTTCTTTATATTTAATTTTAGTCCCATTTTTTCACTGTGTTCCTTTACTTTTATTACCAGAGGTGCAGATCCTTTGCACTTTTGGCAATCAGATTAGTGTCATCAGCATAGCGCAGGTTATTGATGTTTCTTCCTCCAATTTTAATACCACATTCATCTTCTTTTATGCCTGTGGTATGGCAACATCAGCAACTAGACATCCTGAAAGCTTTAATCTAGCTCCGTGATAAACACCATTAGCACTCTGAAAGATACTCAGCTCTTCCTCAGTAGCATGTTGATTGCCATCCAACCTGAGGGGCCGATCATCCAACACTATATTATGAATCAGTTTATATTTTCTATCCATGTGTTTTTCTAGATAAAAATACAGGAGTGGTTTGCCATTAGCTTCTTCCATGCAGTATGAATTGATGCTTCACCATTGTCCCTAAAATGTTCATCTGACTCCTGCATCTTCCTATATCGCTGCTGCCCAATATAGGTTCCTGCTTGCTTTAGCTAGGCAACTGGGAATGACCTTCATGCCTTTGATAAGCCTGCTGTTATCTAAAATTATCTGTTTATGTTTGTTGCAACTGTTTGTCTTGATTTTTTTCGGATACATAACTACTTAGAAGTCCCACTTAACTATAACTGTAGAAGGCCATATTGTTGCCAAATAATTAATTGACTCCAGATGTTCTCTTCTGTATGGACTGAAGAGCTGTTTCATATATCACTTTACCATGTGAGAAAAGTGGAACAAAATAAGATTTTTGTTGTACAAATGATGTTTATATAAGCTTTTGAAGGTCAGTTGTTGATTATATTTCTTCTAACTCAGTACAACCCAGCAATCCTATTTTTAGATAGGGAAGAGAAGAATTATTTCCTTTGAAGATCTTTGGATTTATAACCTTGCAGGAGATGCAGCAGGAAATGTGATTCAGCAATAGACCAGAGGAAATGGAGAATTTATATTATTTGTAAGCTTATTCCTCTTACAGGTCATTGGCTAGATCTTTAATTTCCCTCCCCTGAAGTAGACTTTCCTAACAGAATCTTTTATAGAATAGGCCCTTCAGGCTATCCTACAGATATTGAATTCACTGCTACTTTGTAATAGATTTGGAGGAAAGTCAAGCCATGTCAAGTTTCAAGATAGATTGAATGGATTTGGGTGGGGGGAGGGTTCAAGTTATATTATTTTAAAATATTTTTTTCCATTAGTTTATTTACTTGATTTTTAAACTACCCATCAATCCACATGTTTTCAATAAAAATACCCCTTGGCACCTCTTGAGAGTTCCATTTTGTTCCTGGGGTTCTCAGGGTCTACTCAGGAATGAAATTGTTTTTTGAATCTCCAACTTCTTCCTCTTCTCCATCCTTTCTGAGAGGTTGGGATACATCACCCCAAATCTGTTACAGATATATGCAGGAGACTCTATACTTCCATACCTTCTTACTAGCACTAAAATGGGAAGCTGCAAAGGCAAGTAAAGACTTTATTCTCCTTCAGTGAATATCATTTCTAGTTCTACAAACAGGACTCCTCCTTTAATTTGCATAATATATTAAGCAGAATCTTTGTCAACAAAATTTAATGAAAGGCTTATCATTTTCCACATTTTGAACCCAACAAGAACTATTCATGAGAAATTGTTTAGTTTCTATATTTGTATAATATCTACTGCAATAAAAACTAGTTCTGGCAATATGTATAATACAAATAATAACCCTAACTCTGCACATCAGAAATTAACTAAATTAAAAGATAAGCTTTTCTTTTCACAATTACATTTCAAAATGAGACAATCTATTATTGAAAAACTACATTATTTAAAGATTTTTTGTGAATGTTTGATGGAGGTATAGCTTGCTCAAAGAGGAACAAATTTTGTAGCATATAAACTAATTTGAACTATTAACTTCTTTTCTAGACATTGATGAATGTTTTGTAAATCGATTACTATGTGACAATGGCCTTTGTCGAAATACACCTGGAAGTTACAGCTGTGTGTGCCCAAAAGGATATATATTCAGCAGTGAAACTGACACATGTGAAGGTGATAATTCTTCATTGAAAAACAGGGTTTCTGTTTAATCAATTCTCTCATTAATTTTAAACCTGGTATTAATAGATGCAGAGTACTTGATTACAGTCTGAATTCATCCTTTTTAAAAAAAATCTAATGCTAAATGCCAAAGCTATTTCAAGTCTCTATTTTAATTTAATTTTTTAATCTTGAAGACTAGTTGAAATAGACAAATTCTATTTTAGAGTCTGATTCACTAAATACGAATATAACTTTTTTGGACAAGCAGCGCATAGCTGGTGCTAAACTGGGAGCTAACTTGTAAAGTTTCATTAATTTTTTAGCAGTTATGGGCAGATTGTTTTATAGAGCAATTATACCTTTAAATGCTGTTTGCTGGAGATGGGACATGCCATATTTGCCCAAATATTCTAGAAGCATGCCTGTATTATTAAATGAGAACTGCATTACTGGGTTTGAATTTTGGGCTATAATATTTTGGAAATATTATCATGTACTACAGAGTTAGCCTGATCGAGATAGCTTTCTAAAATATTATCTGACCTTAACATTTGTTGAACTTTTACAACATGTGAAATCTGCATGCAAAAACAAAATGTGATGTGAATTCTCTTGGACATATACTTAGCAATAGTGGTTTTTTAAAAAGCTGCTTCAACTCCAGTTTGAGATAGTATATTGCTATGGAAAAGTAAGGCCACTCCAGTTGATAATGATGAGGTGTCTCCGTCACTTTGCCCACTGCTTGGTTTCAGCAGAAATGTGTTCTGTTTATGCAGATGAACGTGCAGAAAGCCAGCAAAATCTACTGAAGTGGCCAAATCAGTGAAGTGGTGGCAGAGCAGTTTTGTTGCAGGAGCTAGAAGTGGAGGGGTACTTTGTACAGTTGAACAGGAATAATGTGCTCCTATAAGATTATCTCTATTTGTAAAGAACAAGTTGTCTTGTTCTAGAATTCCTTTATGATGACCAGTGGAAAAGATAATCTTAGATACCATTGTACAACAAATTGAAAATGCTGTATTGGAATCTACTTTCTTGTTAATAAAGGACTATTCTGTTTAGCAGGGACATACAGTAGCCAATAGGAATTCACAGTTCACTTGCAGAGACAGTTCAATTTTAGTGGTGCCACCAATGAAGCAGCACTTCTCAGAGTCCTCCCAAAAGTTCAGTTAATGGAACTTCCCTCCTAATGATTTCCACATGCCTTATGGTTAACAGATATTCTTTAGAAATGTCTGCATTTTGGTTCTCGCTAAACAACCACAGTTTCCATCATAGTCAAGGTAATTTTAATTCCTTGAACACTTACTGAAAATCTTGCGAGACTTTTAAATATCTGTGTAAAAAATATATGGGCATGCTTTCTAGTTAGTTAAATAGATATAACAAAGAATTACATTGCAATAAGGGTTTTTTATGTAACATAATTCTGTTCAAATGGAAGTAGGTTCTGTTGAACTCTGGGAGACTTGCATTAAATAAACATGCTTAGTATCATACTGCATGTAATATTTCAAAAGCTGTCCACCAGATGGATAAATTTCTCTTTATAGACCCCCAAATCTGCTTCACAGAGCTGAGGAAAACTTCCAGGGTAGATTTGGTGCATGTAGAAGAATGTAGAGAGACAGAGCAAAGGGAAATCAGTTTGCAGGATATTGGAAATTGACCTTTGTTAGGAATTCAAATGTTTGTGTGTGTTTTTTAATATTTTAGTGCTATGGGGAATTTATTAAAAGCTGAAGGCTGAAATAGTACAACAAAGAGATGCTAACTATATCTGTTTATCTTGATATTTAGCTTCAAAGAACAGCTCTAGCTATAAACATGTTCACGCTGTTATACATGAATACAGAACACAAACAACAAAACCTAAATCATTGTAATGTAATCACAAGGGACATTTCGAATGTTGGCTTTGACTCTCAAGAAGTAAAAAAGCAACACAAGTTACTTTTACAGAAGGAGACAATTCAGCTAAACCAAGTTTTTTAATGTAGAAATTAGAGTGGAAAAATAGGTCGTTTATAATGTTTAACCTTAAAGAATACTTTTCAGTTTTTTCTTAATATTTTATTAAGTGAAAAATCCCCCAAAACTTCTTCTAAGCAAACATAAATCCAGAGGTTTGTCAACCCTTATAAGGGTATTAAAATATTGAATAATCTGTGTTAAAATGTATGAGAAATAGAAATGAAAGTTGTCATAAAATATTTTTTATTTCAAATAATGTTACTTCGTTCTTATCTAGCCTACTGTAGCAAATATATAAAATATACAAGGGCACATAAAAGAAAATAGAGTGTTGAAAAATATAGCACTATAGGCTAAATCATATAAGAATCGGGTTTGTCTTAAGTTTGTATACATTTGCCCTAAGTAAATAATAATAATAGTAATAGTATATTAAATTTATATGGCGTCCAACTCCCAGCAACTCTGGGCGGTTTACAAATAGTTAAAAACTTTAAAGCAAGAAACCTCACAAAACGGAAAAAGAGAACAAAGATGGCAGAGATAGTAAACCCAGATGGGAACAAAAAAAAAGAAGAAAAGAATCTTACAGTCACGCTCGCCAAAGGCCTGGATGAAGAGCCAGGTCTTCAGGGCCTTCAAAACACCAATAGAGTGGGGGCCATTTGAATGTCAGGGGGAATATCATTCCAGAGGCCAGGTACTGCTATGAGAAGGTGCACTTCCAGCACCAATAGATAGCATTGTTTAATTGAAGGAACCTGGAGTGCACCAACCCTGCCAGCTTGGATCAGGCATGCAGATTCAGTGGGAGACAGGTAGTCCCTCAAGTAATCAGGCCCTATGCAATGTAGGCCTTTGTGGATAGTGACCAGCATCTCAAATTGCACCTGGAAGCAAACTGGCAACCAGTGTGTCAGCCCTCCTGGGTAAACCAGACAGGAAACACGACCAGATGAGCTACTTCTACTTTATTGTTAGGTTATATTTACAGAATCCTGCAAGTCTGAAAGTACACATCTCCCACTGTCCCTATTTACCACCTGATCAGTTAGGAGGGTCCTTTCTAACTATCTTTCTCTGTCCATTATTCAGTTGTGGGCTCCTCCCCCTTTTATTTGATCATTTCCTTGGCAACATCTTTTCCCCCCATCTTCCAAGGTCAGTCTCACATTCTATTACACAGTGCAACTTGCAAAGCAGAGGTGTTACAGAGGCATACCAAGGCATGCCCATCATTCCTTGTGCCACTGCATTTTGGACCAGTTGAAGCTTATCGGTGGTCCAAGGGCAGCCCCCCATAGGGTGCATTACAGTAGTCAAGCCATGAGGTAACCAGGGCATGAGTAACTGTCTGAAGCCCCCCCCCCCCCGCCTGATCTAGGAAAGGGCACAACTAGCACACGAGATAAAACTGTTCAAAGGTGTTCTTGGCCACAGCTGCCACCTGCTCATCAAGCATGAGCTGTAAGTCCAGGAAGACCCCCCAAATTGCCCACCACCCTTGAAGGAGGAAGTGCTGAAGATGGAATATCCCCAGATCTAGACGGTTCTAACACCCCCAGCCATTCGGTCTTGGTAGGATTGAGTTGAAGACTATAGTAACTAATTATATGTCTAGAAGTGTAAAATTACAAGAAGACACTCACTTACAGTTCATTTAAACAGCAGGCATATTTAAAAAGGGTAAATTTTCTTTACTCCCCTGACAATCATCTTTTAAATTTATGAGAGTTTCTAAACACTAAATATGTGTAAAGTTAATAGAAGGGAGAGGGAGAAGGAGAAGGCTGAAAAAACTTCCATTCACTTTCCACCAGAAAAAGGGAACTTGGCCAAAGTCACAAGACTCATTTTGTAATTATTAGATATGACTACAGGACATAAATCCAGATTTCCCAACTCCACCTATCCTCTTGGATAAATTGCCAGAATGTTTTCTGATATACTTTATAGGAACACAGATCCATTTAGATTAGGTAAAACAGAAAGCTTTCAGCACTTTCTCCAAGTTAATTTCTTTTCCAAATTGAATTGCTGATAGAATTTAGGGATGGATGGATGGACAGATTCTGATCCGTGTTAATGTCTGGTGCATTAAATCATAAATTGGTTGTGTTCCATTTTCTTTGTTGTTTAAGGTGTATACAAAATATTCTGAGCTCAGAATGGTTGTTTCAAGGATTTTAAACTCAGAAATCCCCTTCTCCCATATTCTGCAGTTTCTCACAAGCTTAGGATAAAATGCGACATTTTGTTCCATGTTGTTTTGAGTGTTCCACCAAAAGGAACAACTGGAACTTAGAAAAAAACCTAATGGCATCACAATAGTTGGAATAGTGGTCCATGCTGACTGTTATGTACCCTCCAAATAACTGAAAAATTGCTCATGAGGATAATGTTAATTTTAAAAAATCTGAAAACAGTAAAAGATTGATATGATCTGATGACAAACCAGAATACATTAAAATCATAGTAAATCATAGAGACAGTATTAATCAGGAATACACACATTTTGCATACTGACTATATGCTGTTCAGGTGCTTCCATACACTACTGACATGAAATATTAATCATGTAAAAAAATTAGAAAGGTGCCAAAATTATCCCAAATATTAAGTTTAATTAAAAGCATTTGATCAGTTCTTGGATTTCAGTGCTATGGCTGAATGGCTAGACAATTGAATGTACTATATTATTGGAGGATGCAGGTAGTATTAACACCTACTGTGGTAAGCATGAAATAATAATAAAAGAACTTCTATGGGGATCACTGCCATCTGATTTTCTTATGGATCACAGTACATTCTCTTCAAGTATGTACGTATGAATGCTTTTTTTTTATGTCTGCATGGATTTATTGATTTATTGATATTTTATTACACAGTGGGAAAAGCTTTAGCTCTTTGTGTATGACTGTCTAATCTTAGTAGAAAAGGATCTTGTTGAATAGAAATATTTCCGTTATGCAAATTATAAATGCAAAGAGTTGTTTCAAACATTCTTTGTCTCACGTCAGAGTCATAAAATTGAACAGATATCTGGAAAAACAAAATTTGGGATGGGATCATATAGAATACCATATGAGATAGTATTCTAGTTATTAAAGATACATGAACATTTTATAGTTCACATGGTATCATGATATAAGTTATATATGCCTTATAAATATTTTTTAAATCTAATTGGTGACTTTATTATTCAATGTAATGTGTATTTGTTATATTACTCAACAGTTTTTCTGGTTATGTTCAAAATGAATTTCTAATTCATTCTTGAGAACATAATTATGTATTAAAATGTATTCCATTCATGGGCTTCAGTATTATCTCTCTCTTTGGTTTCATGCATCTACATTTAATGTTCATTTTAAAATGATAGTTATAAAGTGAAAATACATGTGTATGTGTGTATATAATACTACTCTTGAGATAGGATTTTTAATACTCAAAATTAATAGAGGCAATACATCTAATAGGCAAAGAGCAAACATACAAAACACTGCAAACATTTAAGTTCGGGAAATATTCATAAAGCCAATTGATTAATAAGGAAGCCAAAAAAGGGGGAGGAGGAGAATGAATGATCTTGAAGTCATGTCCTTAGTAATGTGTATGTTTAAATGGATTAAGAGAGGACCTTCTGACATGTACAATGGTGGTTACTAGGTGTAGACTCAGGCTGTGTCACAGCACAGCTCTGTACCTAGTAGATACCAATTTGAATGTCTGAAGGTTCTCCATCATACCATTCAATCATGTAGACTGGTATAGACGTACTCCACCTAGAAGTCAAAAAAACATACTAGAAAAAGACAGCATGTGTATTACTGCCAATAAAATCATATAACAGTATCCATAAAGTCACTAAGAACCTCTGTTATTTACTTCTTACAGCAATTAATATCAACTGTCAGATGGTGTGTCTTCACATGGATCTGCTTAAAAACAGTTGTAAAAAAAAATGGAGGAGAATATAAAAAAGAAAATATAGATTTCCTCCCCCACCCCCCCATACTTGCAATATTATTTTCCAAAATGTGGCTGGATCAGCGGAGTCACAACACCATTACATTTAATTTCTACAGTTTTTAAAAATTATCTTAAAGCCATATTGAGCCATAAATGATTCAAATTTTTGGACACAGCATGTTGTTGTATGGAACATACTGCTTCCATTAAAATGGATTCTTGATTTTTCACAAGACAGTTATTCTGGAAAACGGTTTCGGTTGAAATTCTTGTATATTTCTAGGTTATATGATGCAACCAATTAATTAGCAGTTACAAAACTATGCAAGCCCTGTTACCTGCTTGCCATACATTCTCTGCATTATAAATACTCAATTTAACTCTTTTCTTAGATCAGTGAACACATTTTCCAGACATTCTGGCGTAATGTGGTTCATGGCAAGATTCATACATTATAATATTTTCCAGAAACTTCCAGTGAGTCTGACACGTTTCCTTCTGGATTATAGATATAAATGAGTGTGAAAGCAGTCCTTGTGTCAATGGTGCTTGCAGGAACAATCTTGGGTCTTTCATCTGTGAATGTTTATCTGGCAGCAAACTAGACTCTACAGGCTTCATCTGTATTGGTGAGTCTAATGGTTTCTTCTTTTTGAAAAATCATGAATTCTTTCATTTGTGTTTAGACTATAATCCTTAAAAAAGAAAAAAAGAGTACATGGCAATATCCAGGAAATAATATAGCTAAGTGTACTCCATACAAGAAATATCTTGCTTGGCAATATTCTGATCAGAATTCATTTTTCTTCAAGAGAATGCTATCATACTTAGAAAAAGTTTTCAATTATAATGTTGCAAAAAGAATTTGTCTTTTATTTAGTGAGTCCTAAGTACACTACTGAGAAAATAGATTATAATTTGCTGTCGATACATTTATTAAATTTGGAAAAATCCTAATTAAAAATTCACTCTTCTTCTGCTAGCTGAAAGCATTGTCTGCTGTCAGGAGAAGGATGAATTTTTAATTAGGATTTTTCTAATTAAGATTTATTGATCAAGGTTTCCTTATGAGCTATGCCAGCAGAATGCTATGCTAAAAGACTGTGGGAGGCTCACAATAATTGAAACCAAGAAATTACAGGAAAGGCAATTAAAAGGAATAAATAATATAAAAAATGGCATGAACAATAGACTGAATGGAATGAAGCAAGGAGTCTCACTTTCCCTCGCCAAAGGCCTGGGTGAAGATCCAGGTCTTCACAGCAATTCTAGACAACAGCAGAGTGGGGGCCACCCAGATCTCCACTCTGCTGTTCTTTAGAAGAGCTGTGAAGACCCAGGCTTTTAGTGGGAGAGAGAGACCCCTTACTTAATTCCATTCGGTCTGTCATAATTATACTAAGGTATTACCATATACTACATAATGAACAAATGTTAATTTAATAATGTTGAAAATAGAGTAAAAGTTCAAAACCTTGTCCTTGTGTAGATGGATTTTTTTATATTCTTCCATAGAATATATATTCTACATTCTAATTGGGAGAGAGGGAGGAGATGTTTTTGTACAATTATGGTGGAGAAGAAAAGAAAGGAAGTGTCATAAAGGAAAGAGGAAATGGGCTTTCAAAAGACAGACTGCTAGATGTACTTTGCAAAACATTTTTGGAGTGTAAATAGTCACCTCACTTTTAGCAGCAAAATTTGACAAGCCAGTTTGCAAAGCTATAGCAGCACATTTCTGCAAGATCAGTTGGGGTCACTATTTTGTATTTATTTACAATAAAGATGTTTTACTATAGAAGAATTAGAAAGACCTAATTGTGTTTTAATTTACTGTAGATAGTCTGAAAGGAACATGCTGGCTGAACATCCAAGATAATCGCTGTGAAGTGAACCTTAATGGAGCTACTCTGAAATCAGAATGCTGTGCTACTCTGGGAGCTGCTTGGGGTAGTCCTTGTGAGCGTTGTGAATTTGGTATGATTTCTACTTGATAACATTCTCTAGCTCCTAAGCAGAAATATATATAATTAGATTTCAACTTTGGGTAGAGCACTACACCACACAGAATTTAGTCTGTGTCAAAATTATAGCAATTTGATCTTATTTGTATATATGAGTATAAAGGAATACTTTCATTTTGCCTACATTTTTAAACATATTGATCTAATTCCAATTTTTAGACTTCTTTGCAGATTGAAGCAAATTTATCCTTGATTTATCCTTCTCTGAATATTTTAACATAGTTCTCAGTTAAAATAGTCTTTATGTGTTTATATTTTATTTATTTTTATTTCAAATGCTTTTATGCTGTTTTAATCATTCTGACTTTTGGCAGCTTACAGCAAAACATTGTAGTACAGTAATACCAAAATATCCCTCACTCTATAGTCCCAATTGCTTTTTTCAAAAGCTGAGTTTTTAGCAGCTTCTTAAGTATCAGGAATGAGGCTGCAGGTGTTTGAATGTTCCTGAAATGATTGTCTTCAAGTCCCTTCCCATCATATCTCATGGGAGGTGGTGACTCTCAGCAGACACTCTGCAGACATGCCTTGGGTAAGCAGATACTATCTTGAGTAAGTGATCTCTCAGATAACCAAGTCCTAAGTCATGTGTTATACATGAAACCAATTGGCAGCCAAGGAAACTTCTCCATTATAGGTGTTTTATGGATATACTAGAGAGTCCCAGTTGGCCTTCATGCAGTTACATCTGTACTTTCAGCATTTTCAGAATAGACTTCAGGTCCATGTAGTGTATGATATGGGTGAAGTGGTAAGATCACAAGTGACCACTGCCAAAGCTTGTGGGCCTGTATATATACCGAATTTTGGATTCAAAGGGAAAATGTGCTTCATAACACACATGAGTGCACATGTGGCACTTGCCAATAATTCCGTAAATCAAAAACAACCTTCCAGGATTGTATGGCAGCTGCAGCTGCTTTAAGGAGTTATTGACAGATGCTGCATGCACCGCCCATGTGTTCTAGAGAATATTTTATATTTCTATGTTATATACATTTAATAAATATTTTTTCTCTTTGAATCTGAAGTCCTACCTAACCTTCATATGCACATGTACACACTCATACAACTATATTTGGTAAACTTATATAAAAAAGTGTATATTAGTGGAAGTTGCTGAATACACTTCCAGTTTTCTTTGTAAAAAATGAGAAATGGGATAATGAATGAATACATGCAAATCTGACATGAATTGGATATGATTAATGCATCTTTAGTTCATATAGTGTGAAATAAACCTTTTGTTATTTAGGGTGGTGGGATGTGCAATATCATTCTTATTTCCTAGTATTCCAACAATCACTGTCTAAGTATATTTTCCCCTAATACCTATAGTAGCAGATTTTCCCCTTTTTAAAACTATGGCTTAGCCTGTTCTAAGATAAGTGTGTGTGTGTGTATTTCTCCATATGTTCCTATTGTTTTCCTATAGATACAGCATGCCCTAGAGGATTTGCAAGAGTCAAAGGTGTTTCCTGTGAAGGTAAGTTTGTTAGCTATTTGACGGTTATTTTCACTAACAAAATAAAATGAAAATATTCTTTATGATCCATATTGCTGTTGTAATCTACTTATTGTTCTCCAATGAATGATATTGTTCTCCAATGAATGATATCCTCTATATTAGAATAATAGTAAACTTTCCCTCAAGCTGATTCCAACTCATTCAGGTTCCAGTTATTTCCTGGCAACAGAATAGAAATGGTTCTTTTGGGAATATTTTCCAACTTTCCAGTCTAGCCTACAGCTACAGTATTTCTTGGTTGTCTCCCACTTAATTATGGACCAGATCCAATCCTGCTTAAGTTTCTGAGATCACCCATGGTTGGCTACATCCTGCTGCTTCACCAAGGAAGTCATAGTGGCTTATTCAGGCACACTCATGAAGTTTTATTGTCAATAATATGGAAGTCAATAATATTGCTTTCTTCCAGGACACTTTTGAAAATAACAAAGCTATTTTCTCTCCTAATTGTCATGACAGAAAGTTCTTTGTTTTGGAAGAGTTGGAAAGAACTTAAAGCAATAATACCATAACAACAAATGAATTTATTTATTTGTGTGTGTGTGTGTGTGTTTATTGAAGAAATTGTATACTGCTCTTTCCCAAGACTTTGGGTTAAAACATTAAAGCATATAAATGAAATAACTTAATGGAACAACTAAACTATATCAAATGATTAAAGCAGCCAGTTAAATAAATGTAAATGTAAAGATATTTTCCAAAAACTAGCATAAAGCAGCCCAAAACGTTCAGTTGAACTTTTTTAACCACCTTCCTAAAGCTCAATGGGATAGGTGTCAACTGGACTTCTGGAGCAAGCCGTTCCATAGTGATAGAGTAGCAACATAGAAGGTCTGGCTCTGGACTCCCACTTTCCATATTTCTTATAAGGTCAGATCTTGAAGCATCCCCTAAAGGATTGCAGAGGATTGTTCTGTTCAGAGGAGATAGTTCCAACAGTAACCAGGAATCAAGTCATGTAGGGATTTGTAGGGCTACCCCACCACTTTGAATTGCCCTCAGAATCCTGCAGTACCCACAAAACCTGTGTTAACTTGCTAAAGCAACTGTCAGCAAGTCAGCAAGCTGCTTTCTGTGTTGCTTGTAGTTTCTGAGTGGTCTTCAAAGGCAGAATGTTGCAACAGTCTAATGTTAAGGTGTAAGGGGAAGAGTCACTCTTGTAAGAGTTTCATGCTCCAAAAAGAGCCACAAGTGACACATCAGCCAAAGCTGGTCAAAGGACCCCCTGTCCATAGTTTATACCTTTTGATCAACAGTCCAGAAGCAGACCTCTTCTTTCAGGGAGAGTACCAAATCTTCTGAATGACTGACATGTTTAAAAATGACTTTAACTACATACTCTTTGGGTTAAGAGATATTTCCTAAGTATATGTACTATAACCCAACTCTTTGCAGTTCAAAAGTGATATGAAAAATCCATTTTTAATCCTGATTTCAGCCACAGTCTATAGAAAACAAAAAACTATGAATCCAACAAAGTTATAGCCTTAATTTCAACTGATATCTTCACAATCACCTCTCATTTTTTAAAATAATTCAGTTCAATATTGACTGTGAAGTTTTACACTTATTTATTCAAAGTAAAGTTTCACTGTTCAGTAGAGCTTACTCAGATATAGGAGTACATAGCATTGTAGCCTTATTTATATTTGCATTATCTTACTTGGAAAAATACAGCTGTATGAATAAAAATGTAATTTATTTGTAAGAAATATACTGTATTTATGTTATACAGTATGTCTATAAGAATAGATTGTAAACCTTTCTGCATATTTTATATCAGATGTAAATGAGTGTGAAGTTTTTCCGGGGGTGTGTCCCAATGGGCAGTGTATCAACAGCAGAGGCTCTTTTCACTGTGAGTGTCCCAGCGGTCTGACATTGGATGGATCTGGCAGGGTGTGTTTAGGTGAGCATTCAAGATATTTTCCTTAAGCCTCTTTCTACCTACATAAGCCACTACACAGGTTACACAGTGAAAGAGACCCACACCTTTTATCACTCATGCATATGTTAGTCTTTTCCAGTCTCTTATCATCCAAATGCGCTGGATCTGCAACTCTCAGAATCTTGGAAGTCTTCCATAACAGAGAAAAATGGGATAGAACAGATTTTTTGGGGGGTTTTGCATATATTATGCATGTATCCAGGTTTAACTTCTGATTAAGATCCATAATTAACTTCAGGTTTGCTAAAGACAAGAATCACAGATGTGGTTAAAAAAAAATACAGTAATAGTGGTAGTAGTAGTAATACTTTATTGATTAGCCATTAGGCCATATCAGAAAAAAAATATAAACAGTAATAAGACCATATGTTAAAAATACAGTAGATTTTATCTGTTGTTACAGCTTAGATTAATGATATACGGTATTTTAAAAAATACTATATTTTGAAAAGAACACCAAACTAACTTTGGTTTCTTTGTAGAAATAGCAAATTATACCTCTACAAGATTGCTAGAATAAATTTGCAAAGAATGTGCTATAGATAGATAGACAGACAGACAGACAAACTGTGCAAATTATACCTCTACAAGATTGCTAGAATAAATTTGCAAAGAATGTGCTATAGATAGATAGACAGACAGACAGACAAACTGTGCAAATTATACCTCTACAAGATTGCTAGAATAAATTTGCAAAGAATGTGCTATAGATAGATAGACAGACAGACAGACAAACTGTGCAAATTATACCTCTACAAGATTGCTAGAATAAATTTGCAAAGAATGTGCTATAGATAGATAGACAGACAGACAGACAAACTGTAGATAGATATAGATATAGATAGATATAGATATAGATAAAAAACCTCTCACCCTTATGGGTGGTACGTGTCTTCCTCAATTTCGGGTCCTCTACCAGAGACCTGGGAGTTTGAGGGTTCTGCGCAGTATCTGAGCTGTTCCTAGCACTGCACCATTCTGGACAGAGAGCTCTGATGTTGTTCCTGGGATCTGCTGGAGCCGCTTTCCCAGCTTAGGAGTCACGGCCCCGAGTGCTCCTACCACCACTGGGACCACTTTGGCC